CGGGCTCAGGCTTACTACGGAATGAGGTCTTGTGCACACACTTCCCTCTCCTTTCGTCCTTCGGAACCTCTCTCGCACGTGCTTCGCTCTTATATCTATATCCTCTCTCTTCTAGCCTCTTCGAACTGCTGGCAGGAACGTGTATCTAAAAGTTATAATTTGTTGTCTGATCCATTCCGATTTATTAACTAAAGAAATAAAATACTTATGATGGACTTGAAGCATCTTCTCTCTATAGTTTGAATTCTACGCTCTGTCTCCCTTCCTTAGCCTCTTCTTCTTTCATCTAACTATGTTTCTATCTTCAGTGCACCTCTCATCTTCCGCCCAATCTGCTTAACTGCGTATATGTGCGTATAGTCAAAACTTGTTATTTCATTCAACATGTTAATATCGTATACAGACATCTGCATAGAAATTCTTTCTCAAGGTGATTCCCAAGACTTTATATTATCGAAATACGGTCTTATATCTTTCCTTCCCCCCGCCTTCGAAACCTTTATCGTATATCATTCGCTCTCCACTTCCAACCGCGAGTGCATCTCCTAAAATTTGTTATCCCATCCCTTCCGATGCATCAAAATCTACCGAAATTAATACTTGGGATGATGTACCGTCTTTATATCATTTACACGCAGCCTCTGTCTCCCTTTCTTGTTTCTTTATTTTTTCCTCCATCTCACGTATCTAGGAGGAGACGAGGAAAGGCTGTAAAAGAAAAGAATGGGAGGAAATTAAAGTGAGTTTACGGAGTTCTTTAGATGAAAAGAGCTTGATATTGGTTCGAGAAGGAAGAATCTGTAGTGATGAACTTTTCTTCTTTTTCTATTGCTATTTTTCTACAATCTGATCCCAAGTCTTTGGTTCACCCTCTAAATCCAGATACCGAAAGTTCCATCAACACAACGCTTTCCCCTAATAATGATATTGTTAAGTATAATGACTTTTTCACGCCTTAGTCCGTTGCTCAGTGATTTTGATAGTTAAAAATTCAACAAATAAACTCTCAGGCGAGAAATTGAACCCCGGTCTTGCACAATCTAGAGTTGCGGATCATGACGGGCATGAATACTAACCACTATACTACTTAAGAGTGATTCTTATGATTGTTTATCCTGTCCTTCGCAATTGGGAGCCATGTCAGGTTTTTTTTTCCCGCTTCCCATAGGTTGGATATCTCTTTTTTTTTTAAGCCTCTATGGTTGGTTCTGTCCTGGAATGTACATGGATTTTAAAGTGTTTTCCATTTAGTAAAATCTCGACATCAGAGGCAAAATCATGATGGAAACATTTTGAAATATATATATAGCAAATCATGGTGAGATATCCAACATATATTCTGAATTCATAATAGTGGTCCCTTATACTTCCCATTCCTCCCAGGGAATATAGTTACTAAAATCAAGAACTGTTTCAGATGCACCAATAACAAGTTGAGTTGAGGGAGTACAAAAGCCGGGCCAAAGATTATTTGGTACCCATGCAATTGGAGCTTTAGAGAATGTATCAAGAATCCATCCTGACTTTGCATCCCATGTCCAAGTTGTGATAGGTACTTTTGTATATAAGATTGGAATTAGTTCTTGTACAGGATAAGAAAGTAACTGAGTCTACTATACCTTGATGACTTTCTAGAGATTGTTCTATATTTTGCCCAGTTAATTTCCATACCCGAATTGTTCCATCATATGAACTAGAGACAATTTTTGTCCCATCAGGTGAGAATACAGCTGAGGTCACCCAACCTTGATGGCCTTCAAGAGGATCTCCCAGGCTCTGACCAGTAGATATTTCCCATATGTAAACTAGTCCTTTAGATGACCCAGAGACAATCTTTGTACCATCAGGTGAGAA